CCCCCCCCCCCCCCCCCTCCTCCAAAGCGATGAATCTGCTCCAAATCGATGATTCTGTGGGGGCGCCGAGTGGGCCCAGTCTCTACTACTACTCCTGCTACTACTACTACTACTACTACTACTACTGCTTATAAAAGGTAGAGATACTCATGATAGTTATGGTAGTAACAATAGTTGTAGTACCCTCAAAGCCGGAATTGTAGGGTCCTTATACTGTGAATCGTAAGGTCTTTGGAACATATGAGTAGCTGGATCCTTATAATATGAGTAGTAAGGTCCTTAGAACATATGAGCGGTAGCATCGTTGGAATATGCACAGTGATCATAGTAGGGTCCTCATAACATGAGTACTAGGATCCTACGAATGATATCAGCCTAGTAGAGTATGTAAACCGTAAACCCCTACAACTCCGGAACCCTGGATTTTTGTTTGAAGAGCCTCCCAGGTGGCCACCGTAGCCGAGCCTTCACACTTCGTGGGAACGGCCCCTCGTGCTTCGGCCATCCCGTGCTTGCGGCGGCCCCGGCGAGCCGAAACCTCCCAGGGTTTTGCGACGAAGGCCCCGGAGGTCGCCTCGGAGGTGGAAAAATCAGCAGATTCGGCGAAGAGTGCCGAAGAGCTTGTGGTCTCTTGCGACCTGGGGCCTTCTGCAGATGCCGGTGCTCACACTGGCCCGAAAGCCTCTCCGAAACGGAGACGAAAGAAGCCGAAGCAACAGAACTGGATGTCGGTGCCCGCAGAGGCTTCAGATGCTATTTCCGGCTTGGCCGACTGGCTGCTCAGCCTTCAGGATTCCATAGAAAGGGACGTCAAAGTGATGGATGTTCCGCTTGCGGATTTCTTCGGGCCTTCGACTGCACAGCCTTTGCAAACACTGCGGGGAAGAGGCTCCGACACGCGCACTGGCAGCCAGTCGAGCAGGCAGAAGTCGCGGGCATTCTGACGCTTCGAGAACCTCAGCTTCCTGTCTCCCTGGCCTTTGTGGCGGTGCTCTCCACAGGGATAATGCAGGCCCTGACATTACCACGGTGCTTTTGGATGCAAGACACTGCACCGCGCGCTTCTAGCAGGGAGGTCTCCCTCATGTCTGAACGATGCTACAGTAATATGGTTCATTACACTGGACGAATGGCAGTCCTTCAGGGGAAGTCTACAGAGTCTACAGTACGCCCCCTCTCTTGTAATTGGTCCCAACCAGTTTTGGTATACTGAGTACGGCTGCTTCTCCAGAATTCCAGAATGCTGCCCTCAATCCCGATTCCGCACGAAATAAAGGTGGTGGGCATTGCTTGGGATGCCCTGGCAGGTGCGCATCCTTCAGGGCATGCGCGCTCTAGTGGCCAACTTCAGACGGCTGGATGATTTTCGACAAAGGAGGATCCCTTGCAAGAGATGTGGATAAAATTCCATGGTGTTGTTGGGAAGATAACTTCAGACTCTGGTGCCCTGATCCTATAAGGTATGCCTCCGTGTTTATCCTGTGCTCCAGCCTCCAAATGGAGGATGCCGTGAGGGAAAGGAGCCGTGGGAGCTGGTCGAAGCCACGCCTACTCGGTTTGCCCGAAAATCCCAAACCCTACATAAACCCCCAATAGTAGGTAAAATCATGGCCCAAAGCGTTTCAAGGGCTATTGTTCTGCATACTGTTGGGGCCCATGAAAACCTTACTTGGCTAGCTGACTAGCAGAAGCTTTCACGGCTCCTTGCTCGGGCATGGATGACTCGGAATCGGCGTGCACTTGCCGCAGCAACGGTTCGCTCGTGCCGGCACTAGCGTGCTCTCACTGACTCTTTGGGAAGGAAGGCCGAAAGGACGCAACGACCTGGACCTCGTGATTCTTCAACCATTGTCGCTAACATAGTTGAGATGGCGATGTGTGAGCATGCTTTGTGCTTTTCCACCGCGTAGCATCCGGTGCTGCGAAAGTTCATGGCTGGAAAAGGTAGCGTGCCGCCACAATCGCTTGTGCCAGACATGATTTCATCTGCAAGTCCAAGCTTTTGACAAATGGGCGGAATGGTAGGAGGCATACCTGGTGGACACTGAAGGGAAGGGCTTCACCATTCCTGCTGCCAGCTCAGTTGGTGCACCCATCGCTTCAGAGCTTCAAGTTTGCCCTCAGCTTGTCAGACCTCAACCCCAGACTCTCTGCATAAGCTGCTGCTCTTCGGCAGACACTCCTATCAGCCTGGCAGTCTTCTGAGACACCATCGCCTTGTCGAAGCATGGCCGCGGTTTTTTGCTTGAGGCTGGCTCGCTTTTGGTTCGCTCTTCGACAGGTTGCGGGCAGCAGTCTCAGGACCACCTCGCACCACTGCCATGTCTCCTCCAGGCACGTCAAAGTGGGTGATGCCCGACCAGATCAGCAAGACCTTGCGGCCATCGTGTGGCACTTGGCCCGCAGCTTCGAAGAGCGACGGAGGCTGAACCGTGTGTGTGTGTGTATATATATATATGTATGTATGTATGTATGTATGTATGTATGTATGTATGTATAGGATCTTCAGAATCTACGTAACGCGAAGGTCCTCCTCTGCACCAGCGCCGAGCTCATCGCTGCCGCCCGGGAGTCCGGACTTCGCCAAAGGCCTTTCGAAGCGGCCCGAAGGAAGTCCACATCATTATTATTATTATTAGTATTATTAGTATTATTTATTTATGTATTTATATATATATATGTGTATATATATATATATAAGAACTACAAATACGAGAAGGAAGTCCATGGCTGCCATGGCAGGCGAGAAGATCCAGGTCTGGAGCGAGAGCCGGCAAGAGTGGCTTTTAGGCTCCCGAGCCGGTCAGGGTGCGTCGGATCATACAAGGCGGTGGTAAGTTGGTAACGGCTGCCGGGTGCACTGGGTGCACCACAGCAGCAGCAAGGGCAGAAGCAGCAGGCATCAGTTGTCGTTGGGATTTTGGGGTTTTGCTGCTGCTGCCGCTGGCTGCTGCCGCTGGCCGCGGGTCGTGGTGTTCATGGTCTTGGTCATCGTCGTTTCTGTGCGTCGCAGTCGTGGTCGTCATCTTCTTCGTCGGAGGGTGGCCAGCGTCCGAAACCCTGCAAAGCTGCAGTCGAAGCCGCAGCAGCCAGAGGATGTTGAGAAGTAGTTAATTGGTACAGTAGTCAGCAGTCGTCGTCGTCGTGGTCGTAACAGTACGGCCGGCCGGAACCCTTCGAAGCAGCACGTGTCGCATGTGCAAGGGCCCAGTCTCGCAGGTGTCGTCCAGGAGGTGTTCTCGGTCGACAGCAAGTCCGAGGGTTTTGTCCGCAGCCCAACATCTTTTCGTCTCTTCGCCGCTCTCAACCAGTCGTGGATACGCTGCTTGAGGACGTGCCAGCTGGCAGCGTCAAGGCGGGGGTATTCGTACAGTCCATGTCGGAGCTTAAAGCTGAGAGGAGAGGGTAGCTCTGCAATGCTGCGCACACCAGAGGGTCGAGTGCTGCTCTGGGACCCACAGGTCTTGTCCGAAACGGGTGTGCCCTGGGCTCAGCCGGTAGCAAGCACTGCCAATACGAACTCGAGAAGTTGAGCTGCTTCCATTAAGGAAATGGGTCCTTCCGAAAGACCGGGCCCGCATGCTGCAGAAGGCGCCCGCCGTGTCTTTGACAGAGTTTGCCGCCTCGTCTGTCTCCTCAGATATTACCGTATCATGACATAATGTTACCATATACTACTGCACACCGTCTTTGATTGCATCACCGAAATCGTCCAATTCGAAGGCACTCTTGACCTCCAGGTGTAATTATGCAGAGCCTTGACCGGCAAGGTGTGAAAGAGCCTGGGTTCTCTCGTACACGAACATCTGGTCTCATCATTGAATCATGTCTCTAGGGGCCTGGAGACCATTGGTGCTTCAGGACGGGTGCATGCTGCCATCAGCTAGACGGTATATGTGTTCAGCAATCGCTGTCTTCCCAAGACTTCAGGGTTCTAAGGATGTGCTTCGATGGCCCATTTCTCGGCCGGCGCCTAGGTCACCCCTATACATTTGCACAGGTCCAGGTGCCATCATCACTGGATTTGAAGGCCATGCTGAAAGCAGCTTTGTCTCAGTCTCAGCTTCGGGTTGACAAAGGACTGCTCCGAAACCGCCATGTGCCCAAGCCCTCACATCCCCTAGCCGTGCCCTAACCCTTGACCGTACTCTAGCATACCACTCTCTTGGCTTCATATCATGTTGCTGGCGTTTGATGTTTGCATGTTCATGCCGTGTTGCTGCTTGCAATTCGTTGTGGGTGAGGATGAGGTCGTTGGAATCTCAGGCCCTCTGAGTGTTTATGAAGACCTACAGAGAGCCTTACTTGTCGGTGATGCTCAAGTAATAGAACTTGGCGGCACAACTCTGATGTACCCAGTTTCAATATCAGGCCTCTAGTCGTGGGTGGGGCGGATTCAGCGCGTGGGGTTGCAAGCAAACCCTTTTTCGGAAATGACTTTCAAGTTTAAGGCCTCAGCCCTAAGCTTTCCCCCAACCCGATACCCAATTAGCTGTAATCCTCCTTACAGTGCTACACTAAGCTGCTCTAACCCTCGAAGTAGTATTTAGGGGTTGGTGTTAGTATTATTGATGAGGGTCTACAGTGGGATATTTCATATATGACTATCAGATATGCAGAACTCTCTAGTGACAGGGGTCCGAGGTCTTTTCCGAGTCATTTTACGGACTCAGCATCTGGCAGAGTCCAGCTCCACCTTCAACAAAGCCAACGGTAAGTTAACAGGCGTTGAGGTGCCCTAAACCCGCAACCTGGACCAAAACCCCACAACCCCTTCAGAAGCGTCGCGCTCCTGGCCCCTACCACTTTATTAAATCAGAAAATGCGGCGCTCTTCAGACCACCCTGCCAGCCCAGCACGTCAACGAACCCTGAAGCACCCCGCTGCCTTTAGTCTCATCCTGGGGTTCGTGGTGGGACAACTCTTTTGTCTTCGAGTCCGGCAACATGGATGCGATGCACCAGGGCCCTGAGTTCCAGGCTGGGGCTTCTGGTTCCGATCTTCGTGAGCTATATATGCCTGTACCTTAAGGCACATAATATAGTAGGGCTCAGGGCTTAGGGTAGGAGACATATGCCGTATATGTAAGTCTACATGCACATGTACGATGACTCCTGTACCCGGCCTGTTTGTGCATGGCCACAGGCTCCTGCCGAAGGTCTTCAGTTGCAAGAGCGACTGGACGATGCAAGCCGCGCGCCTGCACATATGAGCTAGACTGAGCTTGAGGGTTTACACGTTGTGCGTGCTTGTCTTATTTTGGCCTTGTGATGTGTTTGTCTTCGTTTCTGGTTGTGTCATTTTTGGCGATGTCATACAATCCGGGTGTTGCTACCAGAAGCGGTGCAAGTTAAAGCCGTGACTGCCGAGGAACCGAGATTCTGGAGGCGTCTGACCAGGCAGCAAAGGACGCTTCTTGGCTTTCCTGTCGGTGTACTTTCTGTGGCCATACATACAGGCATGTATAAACAGGACCCTCGCAATAGGCTTCCGGAAGTTGCACCCCTCTGCTTCAGGTGGAGTCGCGCGAGGCAGCCGAGAAGCTCGAGAAGGAGAAGGCTGAAGCTCGAGGTGCCAGGCGCGGCTGTTCGAGATGGAGGTTTAACAACTCCTAAGCCCGAAACCCTGACATTCATTAAGGTTTAGGGTTTAGGGTATTTAATTTGTGTTTTAGTTTGTAGAGCCCTACATGGCAGGAGCCTCATTCTACTGTTGATGCCCAAAATCCTGCATGGCCTACAACGTCGCACATTCCATGTCCCACTATCCATTTCCCCGCAACCCCTGAATTTCAATGTTGTATCCCTATAAGGTCATGCAGGATTTAGGGCATTCGGGCAAGGCCTTTTTTCCAGCCCCTGAATGAGAGCAATATGGAAATTAGGGGTAGCAGGGGAGTCTTGGGGATGTTCAAAGTCATGCAGGATTTAGAGCATCAGCCGTAGGGCGCCGCAGAAAGGAGCTTCCCGGAAGCCTCCCTGGTGGTTACATAGGATCCTTCTTACACAGACCCTTTCAAAAGGAGCCTCAGATCAAAACCCTAAGCCTTGGGCTCCTCATCCTAAGCCCTAAGCTTCCCTAAACATCCCTCGCCTGGCTTCTCTGAGTTGTGAGAGAGTTTTCGTCCCTAAATCCACCCTAAAAAGTGATCAAGGGAGGCCCAAGAGATATTTAAGATGCAGGTCCAAAGCTCGAGCTGGTCCGGGGGCGCGGGCCGTTACCGCAGATCTCGCGGAAGCTTCGGCCGCCGACTTCGAGGGGCGGGCCCCGAAAGCATCGGAGGTGGATTTGAGAGTTCCAGAAGCCTAGGGGGAGGGGGGACCTAAGGGTTCCTAAGGCTACTTAGGGCACCTTAAACTCAGGGTCTCAGTCTTATTTAGAGCGTCCCAGTTTTGACCGAAAACTCGCATTTCCCTGGAGGTTTTCGATGATTTCCCGAGCCTCAAAGAGATGGAGGAGCTCTTGGGAGGAGAGCCCCGGGCCTTGAGGGACCTCGCGGGCTGGGTTGCGCAGCGGCTTAGTTCCCCAATACCCAAGCTTTAAAATTTTTTGGGGCTCTTATAAATAACTAAGATTTAGTCATCTGAAAGTTTGACCTTTTGTTTTCGTGATTTTCGTAGCTTGTTGGGGAAGAAAGGCAGGTGGGCGTGGATCGCTGCCATGTGGAGGCTGCCCTCCAGCTGCTCCAGGATGGGGGCTCTGCTCTTCTTCTCCTGAACTGTAGTGCCGCGTTTCTCTCTCCGTAGTATATCTTCCTGTTTTTTGCTCGCTTGCTAGGGGTTCGGGTTTAGGGTTTAGGGTTTCGGGCTAAGTCATTAGTGCAAAAAGGGCGCCAGGATGGGGGCTCGGTGCACTTCATCGCTTCCTATCGCAAGGAGATGACCGGATGCATGAAAGAGCAGAAGCTGCACGACATTGAGCGGGAGATGAAACGGGGACTGGCATTAGAGACCCGGCGCAGGCAGGTGGCGCTGGAGCTGCAGAGCAGGGGGCAACTCACCGAGGAGAGGAAGAAACATCTGTTGGAGGCGGGCACAGAACAGGATCTGGATGATATTTGGGCCCCCTTCCAACATGCAGACGGCATGGGAGCTAGCATGGGCGTTGGCATGGGCGCGCAACTCTGAGGTCCAGACAGTGCTTTTGTAAGTGCCTGGTGGTGTACAACTATTCGAATGCCTCCATAAATTCTTTGTTCCCACTAGCAGGCTTCATATCTTTTTAAGAATCAGGACGGTATAAACCTAAACCCTAAATCCTAAACCCTAAACCCTAAACCCTAAGTATGAGGCAAGACTTGCAGCTCCTGGCCAGCCTCCTGGAAGCTTCGGCGATTTCTGGCGAGGACGTCCGCGAGAGCCCCGCCGAAGCGGCAGCGCGCATTTTCGAGCTCTGCAGCCGGGAGGTCGGCCCTGTAGTGTTTTTTTTCAAAGTTAGGGAATAATAAGGTCCTATATGCTTTTATCTTTAGTTATAGGGAATAATAAGGTCCTCTTGAAAACTCGGGAAGGAGGTCCCCCTATACTTGTACTGTAGGAATGAGGTCTTGTGTTTGCTATAGTAAAGCTCCGAAAACGGGGCTCTTAAGGGGCGTAGGATCGCATAGCATAGGCTTTGATTTGGGCATTCCAATACGGGTGTTGTTTTTTTCGGGGGTCGTCAGGGTTTCCTTAGGGTTTACAAGGAGTTCTGCGTTGTAAGTGGACTTCGAGCTTTCTCAGACCTGAGCAGCGCGGACATTACCCCTCAAGTAGTTCATTCAACAACTAAGAGAGGTATCCCAGCTTGACAACCCCCCTAAACCCCAAACTCTTAACCTAAACCCTACCCCTACAGCCTCGCACTCCGATCTGTTTAAAGCCTGCTAGCCCTCTAAGCTGGATCTGTTGCGCTCCTCCCCTTCCCAAGACAAGTGATGCAGGCAGTCCGTACTCATAGTCGTGTTTGTCCCTGTGTTGCCATGCCTGGGCGCATATGAGGCGGTGTGGCATGTCTTGTTAGATAAGCTTACTTGAACCCTAAACCGAGAACCCTGAACCTTGCTCAGAAGAACCCTCAACACCAAAACCCTAAGGTCACCGTTGCGGCGTCAAGCCCCTGCACACCTCCCAAGAGCGGCGCTCAAGATTCGAGTCCGTCTCTTGGCCAAAGCTGCATACGACTGCCGGCATTCCATTTTCTGAGTTCAGGGTTTTACAGATTTTTTGGTTTGGGTTTAGTTTAGGGTTTAGGTTTTGTAGCACGAAAGCAGCAGGAAGGGCGAAGAAGCTTGGGCAGAGGAGCTTTCCACGCCCGCGAAGGCGGGCTGTCTTTGCGGACACAGTGCACGTTAGAGCAAGCCCCTAACACCTTACAGGAGGGAGGGCACAGCATCTGGTCAAATGTCTTTTGAGTTACCATAGCAGATTATTTACTATTAGGTCGCTACTATGGTAGCTCAATTATTATTCGTCTAGCTTACAGAGTAGGAACCAGCCCTCGCGGCATTCTCAAAGCTCCCAGGGCTGCCATGGGTCTTCGATCGAGAGAACCAGAGGTTTAGGAAATCTAATGTTAAGGGCGTTATAAGGGGTAAAGGCGTGGGGTTAGAGTTATTTCTTCAGAGTTTCCACCAGGGTTTACAAGGGCGGATGAAGCTGAGGTCAATCAGAAAGGCCAGTCTGGGCTCTGGCACACCGTGGAAGCGAAACCAGAAAATCATGGTCACTCCCCAATTAAGGCATAAACCCCAAAGTCCTGAATTCCGAAAGTCAACCCCGTTGCGCCCAAAGCACACGCGTCCAGAATCTCCACAACCCACCCTGAGCGCAAACCCCTGCAATTGTCAGGGGCCCAAGCGACGCCGCTTCCCATCTGCGGTGGAAGAAAGTCCAGCAGCACAGATCCTTGAACCATAGTTAATATTCAGGGCATGAGGGATGAGTTCGGGTAAATTGCTGCATGCTGTGTCACACGTCTAGTCATAGGGCTTTGGTTTGGTGTGCAATAGCCAGCCGAGCTGAATTTGATGTTTCTGGAAGCTGTTATCCGTGCCCCCGTAAACCCTAAATCCGAAAACCCTAACTTTGATCACGCTTTCTGTAGCGCCGAAGTCTTAAAGGTTCAGACCGCCTTCTTGCTATTTGTTGAGGCTTTTAGTCTGTTTGAGTATCCTGTTTAGGTCCTGTGGTGCTGACCAGAACCCTACCTGTAGTGCCGAGCGGTGGTGAGACTGCGAACCGAGAGACCTCCTCTTGCAGAGTCCGAGTTCCGAGAGTGTAAAACCCCAAGCCCTGATTTTCCATCCGTCTTTGCAGAAGAAAATATAATGCTATACAGGCTCTACTATGTACAAGAATACCATACAGTTAAAAAAATATAACCTATAATTGTAACCATGTTAATACAGAAAATAAGTTGTCCTGCTGGCTTCCCGGGAAACAAATGCCCAACTGCTCCAAGACCCTCACGACTCTAGCATGAGCCTACGCAGAGCTCATTGGCTGCGAAGAGCCGAGGCAAAAGGGGACGACCTGCCACCCGAAGCACCGGGAGATGCAAGAGTCGCCGTGAGGGCTTCTTCCGGGCCCTTGATTTCTATGTCAAGCTTCCTATTCCTCCCCGGCGGAAGCAGTCCTTGGCTTCAGATCCCTCTGGTCCGAAAGGGGTGCCGAAGGGAGAGTGATGAATTCAAAGCACAGATGGCTGACGGTTTTGACGCGGTCAGCGTGGGGAATGGCCACCATGTAGATGTTGACTTGGGTGGCATTTGGAGCTTCTCAAAACTCGGGGCGTCTGTAGGATGAAGTCAGCAGGGGTCCTGCGATCAGGCTTAGAGCACAGGGCTTCACATTAGGGTCTGTAGAAACCTTTTTCGGTAGCCCTTCTAGTATACACCATTATAGTTGTAACTAGTTCTTCTATCCCTAAACCCCTAAACCCTAAAACCCCGAGCCCCTAAACCCTAAACCTTGCTTCGGCGCCCTTGGTCTTGACAAGCTCTGTCTTTCGTGAATCCCCGGGGCTCGAGGGCCCCCTTCTCGATTCCGCAAGAATTTCAGAAAAGGGGGGAGGTACCTTTTTTTAGGGACCCTCTTAATTACCCAAAACCCGAGTAGGCGATGACGCGCAGAGATGCGCGCAGATCGAGTCTCACAGCCGCCGCGATTTCTCTCCAACCCAGGCCGCAGGTTCGAGTATTTGGCTTCATCAGAGATCAGGAGTTGCCATGCAAGTGTATGTGAGTCGTCTATCACGGGCCTTGATGGTTGAAGACTGCGGAGAGGCACATCATTTCATGATGAGAGGGATGTCAGGATCCTCAGCTTCGGTGACAGAGGTCGTGCCCTTGGTGAAAGAGGCGGCTGGTGCTGAGTGGAGAAGTTGACAATTCCCACCCAAGCCATAGACGTGCCTTAGTCCGATGTCATGTCTGTGGAGTTTTGGCATGGAAACGATTTCGACTTTTTGTACAGCGTGGGATATTTCCCTCACTGAGGCCCTATCTCGAAACGAACCCCTCCGCCTCGTGGTCAGGGTTTTCTCAGTTGCGCGGCTGTCTGTAGCGGCGTCCTAGGCAATGCCTGCACAACATAAAGCCTTCATACATTCACGCTTGATTCTCTTTCCTTGGCACGGAACGGAGTGGATGCCGACATTTTCATAGAGATCTCTCTTCTGCTGTTGTCGCCATGAGCTCGACTTGTGCCAACGCCTCGGCACCTGACAGACACGATCTGGAGCTGCCGATTCCCATGCTCGGGGCTGCAGCTTTCATGCACGCCAGGGGCGTTTACTTCCCACTCATGACTTTCCTTTTTCTGGGGCTGCCCCTAGAGCCCCGAATCGCGATGTTCCCCTCGAGCCGAACTGGTTGTGGCTTGCTTTGTCTGTGTGTTCAATGTTTGGGAGTAGGTCAGTTAGGCGCTGGCATGCCGTCTTTGGAAATCCCCCGGTGCTGGCCGCTAATCACACACCACGGAGGTACCGAACAGGCAGAAGATGCGATTGAGCCTGAAGCGCCCAATCCGAGCGGCTGCTAAGAGTGTCTGAGCGGCACTTGGCCGACACATTCTTGATCGTTTGCTCTCGGATGATGATTTGATAGGCTTCTTGCGAAGGATTACAGGATTCAGACATTGCTGTCACACGCAGTGTTGCTGACACGATTGCCCTGCTCTTGTGGCACGGCATTTCGGCATGTCTGAGCCGGTGTAGCTTTCAGGCAAGCCTACAACTCGTGCTCCAAAGCCAAATCCTGCGCAGGCGCCACCCACACGATGAGTACTTCTACTTCTACTACTACACTTATGCGGCTACTACTACTACTACTACTA